AGAACTGGATGACCACAGCAGGCCAAGCAGCATCAGAGGAGCAGGAATGAGAAGGGTCTTGGCCCGAAATGTCAGCCTTCCTGCTCCTCTGATACTGCTTGGCCTGCTGTGTTCATCCAGCTCTACACCTTGTTATCTCAGGAGTTTGTGATGCTCTAATTTAAGTTCAGCTACTATTTTCCTACAGGCTTAAAGTGGCTTTTACTGCAGAAAGCAGAGAGACCTGGTGGAAGTCTGAAGGATTCTCCGTATCTTGTTCACAGCCCCAGGCTCTTCAGCTGTCTGAGAACCAATTACGTAACTGTTGGCAGGCAGAAGACCTTTCTCATTGGTAATTGGTCAGTAGTCCATAAGCCAATGAGCTTCTTGCTGCCAACTAATACTCCAATAGTACACAGTCCCTTGGCTCCAGTTTGTCTGCAAACTACACTTCAACTCCCTGTAGCTCTGTGAACAATACGCATTAACCAATGAGGGTCAAGGTCATGTGTTGATCCGTAAACAGGCCTTGTATTGTTTTTATAACAATTCTTTCTCCATTTCCGTCCACAATTAAAAATACAGAAAAAGAACAAGGCACCATCTTTATAGTTGTGGAGATGTCACTGTTGGTGAATGAGATAACGGAGACATTGAGCAGAGTTTAGGGAGAATGATGGGAATTGCTAGAGGTGTATTGTGTTGATGTATTGAAGGGGGTGGATTGGATAAGGGACTGAGAAAGGCATGAGCGATAAGGTGATAGGATTTAGCTGGGAGGAAAATTGAGCATGGAGTGCTAGCAGTCTGAGTGCTGTGTGGCACCTGGTGCATTCAGAGATAATCTCACAGAGGCTGTCTCTCTTTTACTTACACAGCTCTCGATCCACGAGACCGAAGACCCGAACGATAAGCGCTACCTGCTGGTGATGAAGGGAGCCCCTGAGAGAATCCTTGATCGATGCTCAACCATCATGTTACAGGGAAAGGAGCAGCCATTGGATGAGGAGATGAAGGAGGCTTTCCAGAACGCGTACATGGAACTGGGCGGCTTGGGGGAGCGGGTCCTGGGTGAGTACAGGAGGGGATCTCCCTCGGTGCTGATCCTCCAATGGGATTGCAACAATCCTGCTGGAAGCTTGTGATTGGACAGTGTGTTTGCAGAGTCACTGGGCTCTATGACCATCTGTACACTGACTGATGCTTCTCTCCTCCCTCCTCAGGATTTTGCCATTTCTACCTGCCCGAGGAACAGTTTCCCAAGGGATTCGCCTTCGACACGGACGATGTGAACTTTCCCACTGAGAACCTCTGCTTCATCGGCCTCATGTCCATGATCGACCCGCCCAGGGCAGCTGTACCTGACGCTGTGGGCAAATGCAGAAGTGCTGGAATCAAGGTACGCAGTTGGTGAGAGAGAGAGAGTCAGCACCTTCAGGGGAAGGAGAGAGAGAGAGAGCGTGTCAGCACCTTCGGGAGTGGGGGGCGGGAGAGGATGAGGGAGCGAGTCAGCACCTTCAGGAGAGAGAGAGAGAGAGGGGGAGAGAGAAAGAGAGATAGTCGGCACCTTCGGGGACAGATAGAGAGAG